CCTCTCTCTCTCTTTCTCTCTCTACCACTTCTGAATAAAATTGAAAAAATGAATGAATGAATGAATGAATGAATGAATGAACGAATGAATGAACGAATGAATGAAGAGCCCCCCTTTACAACAATAAACCTGACCGGTGCGTTTTTCCGCGCTTCGCTCAAGGACCAGGTGCTGCTGGAGTACGTGTACGTGGGCGAGGACGGGGAGAGTCTGGCCAGCAAATGCCGCAGAGTGGACGCAGTGCCAGAGTCGCCGGACGGTGAGTTTTGAACCCCGCCTTTTTTACTTGTTTATGATTTAGTAGAGTTTTTACGGCGCTCGCAACTGCATAAGGTCATATGAGCGCCCAGAAGTGGATGTCAACAGAAAAGTCCTTAAAGGGAATCACACTTACTCTGCTCACCTCTGTAGCTTCAACAGTACTAAGTCTGCTTTGACTATCAAGGCACCCTGGAAATAGCGGTTCACAAGAGTGTGACAAACATACAAAAGGAATAGAGGATAAAATGACGATAGTAAGGGTTAGGAAAGAAAAGGCAGCAGTTCCTTGATGCAGTTCAGGCACAGTTATGAGTATGACATTGTTGAATCAGCCCATTTACAATTACACTTCTACTGTGCATAAGAACTCGAGATGTTAATGCCCCCCCCCCCCCCAATTGGGAATGGCCTCGAGACACTTCAGTCAGTAGCACCGCCCCGGGGGATGTCCTTTTTACGTCATGGCTAGGAGCCAGGAGGGGGTGGTGTGGTGGCGTGTAATGTCATTTGAACTTCAACTTGGTCTCATGCTTAGTATAATGTTATATACAGCGAAGCGCTTGTTTATTACGAGAACACTAAGTCTTTGATGATTTTGCCTGTGTTCGTTTCTGTCAGCTTCCTCTTCCCCTCGCAGTAGAGTACAAACTGCAGTGCCAATAAAATAGACTCTTTCAATGGAGTATCGAAGACGTGTGTTTTTCGCGCAATGTAGAAGCCCTTAATTAACTCATTGAAGACTCCTATGTTGGTTATTCTAAGAGGCTAGGGGACAAACACCCAAGGATTACTCCATTGTTCACGCATATTTTCGATTCTGATTTTTTTTACCTGAAACTCTTCAAGCTAGAAAACAACATGGCAATGGAAATTTATGCCAATTCATATTTCTTATTTGTGTATGTTGATTCGAAATGTCCTGCAACATTACGTTTTACCTACTGAAAGGGCATGTGTCTGCTCTGCCCTTAAAAGAGTTAACCATAACGCAAGAAACACTTCCGCAATGAAATGTAGCAGCCATGTTACTCACAGATAACTGTCCATAATACTATATTTTTTCTGGAGGAGTGTAGTCGCTATTTATGTGTTTTGTTTGAACGCAACTTTGACCCAACCTCAAGTTTTACCCTTTCCATAGACATTCCAACATGGACGTTTGCGGCCAACTTCCCCGTGGAGGACAGGTTCCTCAAGCCTGTAGCTATCTACAAAGATCCCTTCCGCCGTGGACCCCACAGACTTGTTTTATGTGAGGTCTTTGCCAACGATTGGACACCGGCCTGTGAGTATGATAGAACCTTAGATAAACATAACAAGATATAGACCGACTGGCAGACAGACAGACAGATAGATAGATAGATAGATAGATAGATAGATAGATAGATAGATAGATAGATAGATAG